GCCATTAGCTTTTTGTTCTTGAAGTTATTCTAAGTTTGGTAACTGCACAAAATGTACAAATTGTGATATATTGTAGTAGTCCATAATAAAGTTCCTTAATTGACCTGTATTTAGAGCTGTTCATGATCTGGTGCGTGTGGTGCGGTTTATATCTCAAACCACACCAAACTGTAAAATTACGATTTGTAAACTTTTCAAACTGCAATTATAATCAAACTGCACTGCAAAATACGTTTAGTGCTATGCGGCTTAACTACAATTGTTTTAAATCACAAAAAAACTTAAAAACTTTTATTTTATTTTGTATTTATAATTAAAATATTAAAACTCATATTAATTTACACTTATTTTTTTTGAGGGAATTTTTACCCTTAATTAAATAAGTCAAAGATTACATCAAAATTTTAAGATATTTAATATTTATTATTCTAAAAATATGTTATAAAAACAATTTAACGATTTGCGGTTTGATGGTTTACGGTCTAAGGTTTGCGATTTGCGGTGCGGTTTGATCCAAATTAATTTGAAAACCGCACCTAAACCGCAAACTGCACCAGACCACAAAATTGTGATTTGACTTGCGGCATTTTGTAGTTTGGTGCAGTCTAGACCGCACTCAAAACAAGCCTTTTTGTACGGAGTGTCAAAAGTCAAAGGACAACAACAAAAACAAATTTTAAAGACTACTCCGTATCCGTAAAGCATGAAATCAATCTCCCTAATAATGATAGTTATATAACTCATTGGTATAAAACTATAATCAAAGTTGTTACACGAATAACGTATAATGTTAAACCATGTCATAATTTAACCAAAAGATTAATTAATGAAATGATAATTAGTAATGTATGAATATAATCGTTAACATATGTTCAATCATTGTACATTTTATTCATGAAACAAAATAACTTGCCTTATGTGCATGATTCTTGAGCAATGGATGATTAAACGCCGGTTGCTTGAAAATCTACGCAATCATAAACTCCATGTTTTGTCTATTGAAAAGAAAAAGAGTTAAACACAAATCAATTCTAGTTATATAAAAAGAACTATGGAGTGGAAGAGATTGAATTCTAGAGTACGAACCTGGATAGTCTTCTTCACTTGTTGGTTAGAGAATGTTGTGCCGCATAATCCAAACAAAATTAATGAAGAAAAAATCACTAAAAATGATGTTGAAGAAGCCATTATTCCTAATTCCACCACTAACTTTGGTTGTTCTAACTCTTAATAATGAGGTACGGTGCTTTATATTTTGAGAACTAAGATATCAACTATATTTATATGTATAGGATCACAAAATTAGTAAAGAAACCAAGAGCATGATCATTGATTGGCTTAGGAGAAACATTACCAAAAAATTAGAATTATTGATACTGTATTAAATCACACTAACTAATATGGTAACATATCATGATTTCATTTATTATATGTTGAATGTTGACTAGACCATCTTATATCACATGTGTTGTCAGAGTAATTGTGTAACCGTAGGCGCTGGATTGGTTGGTCTACCTTAGCATACATAAATATGTTTAGCATCGTATAAGATTTAGTGAATTTGACATAATATGATTAGGGACAAAGAATAAAGTAGTAAGTTATTAACAAATCTTTAAGGGAACTTGTAAACCGTTAATTAATCACTATATGAAAGGACAAAGGTAACCACAATTAGAGATAAATCCGAAAGGCAACACGAATTATGGTTTTACCCCTCCAACAATCCTTGATATTGTTGACTACATTGGGTCTCAAAGCATACGGGGTATGAAATTGACTCTATAAGGGTTAATTCGACCCATATTGACTTCTACTCAGCTTTTATTATGACACATATAATTTGTAATTTAAAAGATACACACAAACAAATATTCAATTCGCTTCAAATTAAATTATACCAAATTGATTAAATATTATAATTGCTAAATCGTGATCACTTTATTAAACATCAAAATAATGGGATCCTAGCCGGTTTTTCAAATATCTTATTAATCGTTATTTTCAAATACCAGTCTTATTTAACGTGCAATAAGGTGATCAAAATAATAAAGCAAAAAAACATGCATGCTAAAATATTTGAAGCATGCAATCAAGCATTATCAATAATCAAAGTAGAGACATTAAATAATTTAAGTACACAAAATATTCAATAAAATATATACTTCAATCACACAATTTGGAAACTACATCATGAATAAATTGTTCTAAAGGGGAGTGTCCCAAGTTGTTAGGTCTTCATATAGGAAATCAATTATTTTAGCCAATTTTTTTTTGTTTTTTTTCATTTAGAATTCGATAATTCAAGATGTACATAAGCAAAATCAACGAATGAAATTTAAGATTTTGAATTAATTATTATATAAGCAACCATAAGTAAAATTAACGAATAAAATTTAAAATTAATTATTATATAAGCAAAACTTATTATATAAATACATAAAATGTTTGATTTAAAAAAATACGAGCAAACCGTGTAGTCACTATAGTGCCCGGATTTAAATCCAGTGATAATAAGAGTTCTAAAATATTATTCCTTCAAAAATTGTATGATTATGCCTTGAAATTGAGATAGAATAATCTCGAGTCCCGACCTGAGTCTTGAAACGAACCTTAATATTAATTGGATATGTCATTTTGGTTATCTTTTGTGGCTTTCTACTAAAGCAGATCATGGTCCATATAAGCTGACTTCCTTAACTGGGAAAAACATTAAGCCCATTTCAGCCCGAGGCATCAGGGAAGGTCAGGCTGTGCTATCCATAAGGGATATGTGGTTCAACTTAACGTAACGCCTCTATGACTCTATCTTGTTATCGGATGACCCTAAGGTTTCATGTTACTCTTTTATCAGTTTTGTTCATTTTGATAAATTTAAATGAAAAAAAAGTGATATGGACAAACCTAATGCTAAGGCACCCACCTCGAATAATACATTTATATCCCCACCAAATCACCCATGATGGGTATGAATTTTAGACCCATCCTCGCCCCACGACCCGCCAAAGCTAGACCCATCCCCGCCCCGGTGGGACGAGTATGGAGTGGGTCACCTACTAAAACCGCCCCACTGACATCCCTAACTAAGCGTATCTGAAAACAACTAAGAATTTGTAATGAGATTACTCTGTGCTTACATCTCTTCATATCCTAAATTAGTTAAGCACTTTCAATGTCGCACGACGATTGGTGAGATCTAGGAAAGAGTGAAAGACGGTATAATCTCTATCCCCCCAAATTAGTTAATAACAGGAACAAATTGTTAACAGAAGATGCACGACTATAAATTGAAGTGGCTGTCAACATTCTTAATTCTTAAACAGAGTAGTACTGTAGCAACAAACAATGCCACGAATTTGGTACCATTAAACTAGATTGTCAACAAAGTTTACAGGCAGCAATCTTCCTTGTATAGTTGTATTGCCGCCCAATCTATCACTTACGGCAGCCATATCAGGTCACCCGAGTTGAAATCAGAGTAGGATACATAAAGCAGCATGGTAAGCAGTACAGAACCGAAAAATAATGCATATTGTAATGTATGAAGTTATGAACATGGAATTTCGATAGGATTTGAGACAAGGATCCCGTATATGTGGAAAATTCAGGAGATTATTTGTTCCTTATCCGATTTCAAAGATCCTTGCTAAAAGGATCAGAAGCAAGTAGCATTGGCTATGGGCGGATGAAAATTCCTCCCAAGTGCAGTTGAGGTATTATAAGGACACGACATTTATGTATTTGAAAAACATAGCTTGTCTGCAACGCAAACTGCATAAACTCAATGAAGCTGTTGAGAAGGCAACAAATGGTAGAGCTTCAGACAACATATCTTGCTCTGTGTTCAGCCTTAAGACATCAACATGAAAAGGAACACAAACAAGCAGTCAGTTTTCTTCATCAAAAAGATAGAAATCCAAAAAGATTATGGAAAGCTTTCCTTCCAAAGCCAAGTGCAGAAGTGCATTGCTTCTCCAGCAAGAGTAAAATGGCTATGCGATTGTGCCAAAATTCAAGGGTGGATCCACTGATCCAGAAGAATTCACCAGGTCCACAGTCCACACACATGATACACAGTACCTAGTAATGCAACAAATGCTATATCCTGAAAGCTTACTTCTGATATGCGAGTCATCCATTAAAGGTAAGGAAATCTAGCAGGGAACCATTGCTTCGGGCAGGAGTGCAGAACTTTATAGCAGTGAAGGACTTCAGTAAAGGCATTTAAACCACAAGTTTTCAGGAATAGATCAAATGATTGGGTAATTCACTTGTAAGAAATCACAAGCACAAAAAGAACAGCTGAATAACAGAAAGCCATTGTAATAGACACCTAGTAGTTACAATGAACCCATTTGTCAGGCGGGAAATACCTTGCAGTGGTTTCGAAAACAGAAAATTCTCAGTATATAATATCCACTCATTTAGTTAAAAAAGCAGCAGTGGAACTGTTGGGAAAATTAACAGACAAGACAATGAGTTCCTTGTGACATGCCATGCCTAATTGCAGAATCATACTTCATATGTGAGATGCATTCACATTAAGAAAAGAGCCAGATGATGACAAAGGAAGAAATGCAATATATAACGCTATGGTATAACACAAGTGTCACTAAGGCTTTGTTCTTTTCACCTTATTCTTATTACTTCATACTTATTCTTGTTACTCTGTATCTGTTGGGCAAGAAGAGCCATGTTAGGGTGGGAGAGGGGGAGGGGGGTGGGAAGAGAACTAGGACAGAACAGTTGTCCATTCAAGCCCGTGGCTACATCATACAGTACAGACAAACTTCAGGTAGCAGCATGGACTTAAAAACTGCAGAAACTCTCACATTAGAGGTAGTAGAGTCAAAACAAGGCACAAAACAAATCTTGAACATGCATAACAAACCTAGACAGATGGTAATGTACGTTGGGCAGTCAATAACCAACTATATTCATTGGCATTCAGCACTGAATTACTGATGTTTGAGAAAGAAAGATAAAGGCCGAGAGAAAGATTGTGAAATGCAACAAATTATATTATTACCTCAGAACCAGGTGTGTATTATAACCAATGTAGAACATCATCTAACCATTTCATAGACAACTAATAAAACTAATAAAAAAAATGCTAATTTCTGACTACAACAATAGCAAATAGTTTCACAAGCTCAAAGTTCTAACACCTTGCATAGATAGTAGCAAGAAGAAGAATATACATCAGAGAACAATTGTTCCAGAGTGAAAAGGAAGAGCCTTGCACCTAAAAAATGTGACTGCATACTGCACAAATGGCTACTCAACTACAAGAAGACAGGGAGAAAGAGCAATTCTAAATAAGCAACAATGATCCTTGATCATCAAGACTACCTCAAAACCTGAAGAGAAGCAAAACACATATATGTAAGCACACAGAGATAGGTAAATTCTGTTAAGTGCATACAGAGAAAGGAGATAACACAAGCACCTAAAAAGAATCAGTAAGTACACTATCATCATCATCATCATCATATTCAGCATCTTCACTGGACCCACTAGGATCCTCAGCTGTAACAGTTTGGTCATCTGCATAAAAAGTTTCAAAGGAAAGTTAACTTCACAGCTTGCGTTCATAATTAAAAATAATAACAAAGAAATAATTACCGGTATTATTTTCTGCACCTAGCCAATTTTGAAGACATAATAAAGCTTGAAGTGTCTCGGGCATAACGGAACTTTGAACAGAAGACAAGGTTTTACTCCCATAGCTAAATGCCTCCTTGGAATTAACAGTAAAAACAGGTATAGATAGAATGTCACGTGCCATAAACGAGAGATTGGGATACCTCATTGAGCTTCTTCTCCAGAACTCCAGAACATCTAAGTCAGAATTTAATTCATAACTTGGCTCTTCCAAGTAAAGATCCAACTCAGACTTGTTCCCATGAGATCTTGATGTAGAGCTCAGAAATTGATCATAGTCTCCAAACATGTCTCCCTCGTCATCTACACCAACAAAGTTTGTATTCATGCTAGAAGACCCCACAGCTGTAGAGGAAAAACGCATAGATTGCTGCTTATACTCAGCAAACAAACAGTAGAGAGTGCTTACAACTTTACTAACACGGTCCTCGAAATTTGCTGGGCCAAAAAGTTTCATATAACAATATTCCACAAATTTTACCTTGTACCGTGGATCTAAGATTGCAGCACAAGATAAAATCAAGCTATTCTCGCACCAGAAGTCATCGAATTTAGCTTGCATAGCTTGAACAGCATGAGCTAAGAATAGGTTTGGACCTTTTACTATATCCATCATACGGCAATGAACCCTCAACATCCCCTTTATAAACAAATTTGATGTAGGACCATTGGTGCCTGAAAACAAGCGAGTTACATCATAAAGAACCCTTAGGAATTTGTGAATAATGCTCAACTTTTGCCACTCTTCTTTAGAAAGAGCCAAGTTGCTTAGCTCTTGCTTTGAGTCCAAAAGATGCTTGAATACACTCTTATAATAAAGGGTGCGGTCAATTAACTTATATGTAGAATTCCATCTTAGCATCACATCAAGGCTCAACCTTTTCCTCGCTTGCAATTCAAACATCCTCTCAGCAAGATCAAAGAACTTCTTCCTCTGAAGCGGTGATTTGTTGACATATTTAACCAACTCACGGACCCTATCAATAATATCATCAACCAACTTTAAGGCAGATTGTGCAAGAAAGTTCAATATATGAGCATAACAATTAACTTGGAAAAAGGAACCACCACTAGCAGGAGAATTCTTCGTAAAAAGACCTCTTTTAATAGAAGAAACTGTTGACTCGTCATAAGAAGCTTCATCCACTGTGATGGTGAAGGTCTTACATTCAATGTTATATTGAGATGATAAACATGCCAATTCATCTGCAATGTAAGTTCCATCATACGGGGGTGCTAAAGCTTTAAAACACAAAACCCTCTTCAGCAACTTCCAATGCTCATCAATGAAATGTGTAGTTACACATATATACTCATCTTTTGTATCTCTTGCTTTCCAATTACCAACTGTCAAACATATGCGGCCTGGAGCCTTTGCTAACATTTCTTTTACGTTGTCCCTTTCCCTCATATACATAGAAAACATTTCTCTTCTTACAATCGCCCGGCTGAATGGCTTAAATTGTGGACATGCTTTAGACATCATAGACCTAAACCCTCTCTCTTCCACAAAGCTAAATGGATGAGCACCTTTGATTATGCAGACTGATATATATCTTTGCAGCTCATCCTGATCAACCTGGCTATTTTCTGTTGATTTGCTTCCTTCAGCCAAATTGTCGCCAATTGTTGATAGGCGTTTCAATTTACCAGTTATAGGTTCATCTTTGGGGATTTTATCTAAATTGTTTCCTTCTAATAGCTTCTCATTTGAAAGGAAGTATTGTTCTATGTTACCAGTCAAAGTCACACGCCTTGGACACTTGTCTAAATGACGCTTTAGGTGAGATGTCCCATTTTTGGAAGCTGCGGAGAGAACCATCTTACAGTGCTTGCACTTGGCTTTTGCATCATTCATATTAGGAGATGGAAATAAATCATACTCATGCCAAACCTTTGAGACCCTTTTCCCAAGCTTAACACTAGATCCACTACCTTCAAACTCGCTGAATCCAAAGTCCATTGAGACAGGTTGCACATCAATTGCTGCACGCTTGGCACACCTTTCCACGTGACGCTTTAAATGAGACGTTCCACTCCTAGGGGTAGCACTAAAAACACCATTGCAATGTATGCATTTTGCTTTACCTTCGTTCTTGCTTTCAGTAGGTAACTTCTCAAAATGATCCCAGGCCACTGACCTCTTCTTGTTTCTATTACTACTATCAAACTCAACAAGTCCATTCTTTTGATCTACAACCGCTACTATATTTCCTTCCATGGCACCTACACCATTAAAGTGGAAATACAACACTAAGTACAGAATAGAAGCCACACAACATTACATTGTAGTCTAAATATACTGGAGACATGCTGAAATTGAAAATATACAGTAAATATCCGGCATACAGAAAACGCAAAAACTATGCACAAAATAGAACAAAATCGACATAAAATCAGGCAACATGGCAAAAACCAGATAAATCAGGACATTATCTAATACATTTACTCTAATTTATATACAACTGATCTACAGCGGAGAAAATCTAAATTTTACTCGCAATGGATCAAATCCCGTCTACATCACTATCCTATATGGCTCCGACTACACCCAATAAAAGAGCTCACAAAAGCACATGAAACCGCGATAAAAACATACCCTATACAAACCTAATTGCTCTACTACTGATACATGAAAACTGAAACATACCAATAAAAAACACACCATAATCATGAATTCAAGAAAAATTAAGAAATGGGTATTACTCAAATCTAATAAAAGCATACTAAAATTGAAGATCAAAGCATCTGATACAAATTCCAGAAAAGAAATTAGGGTTTTTAAGCATCTTACCTTCAGTAGAATAAGAGTGAGAAACTAGCGGTGCAAGATGCAAGAATTAATCGCCTAGTACTTGAAACTTTTCTGGGAATTGAAGGTTTTTGCGATTAAACCAAGCAAATTTCGAAACTTTTGGTGGGAATTGATGAAATTTCGATTTGGAGGGAAAGGGGTTTTTTTTGGAGAGTGCAGTGGACATTTGGAGTTGCAAAATTGGGGATGTTGTGCAGTTTTACAAGTACAGAAGGACTATATACTCATTTTTTTGATAACTTTTTTTTTTTTGACTAAGTAACAAAATATTTGGGTAAAAGGAAGTTTGTGAATGTAAACTAGACTTGCCTGTCAAAGAAAATTTAGGATTGATTAGTAAGTGGTTTAATTAGATAGTCATGAGAAAGTTTAAAAGCCTTTGGTTAGGTGAATATAAACGCTTTTTGAGTCTGTAGTTCCTTTGTATGGAATTAGTTATTTGCTTATCGTCTTATCTATTTATTAAAGATACGGCAATATTTACCCGAAATTGTATAATTATTGTGTTATACCTATAGTGTTATAGAAATGAAAAAAATATATATTTAAAAAGTCAATTATAAACTATTATACTTTTTTACTAAACTTTATAATGTAAGGTGAAAATAAGTTAGGGATGGATCAAGAAACACTACAAAGAAAAAAAAAAGGGCATTAAACTTTGAAAACACTATAAGACTAGAGTTTAATAGTTTACACTTCACCGGAAATGAAGAAGTATCTAATCTTATAACTCAACATAAAACAAACGTATTCCTTAAAAAAAAAAAACATAACATGAACATATCATAGTCACTTAGATTTTTAACTTAAAAATAGACTACTAACTATAAAGGGAAAGTAAAATCACAAGCATTGTCGATATGGCTAAGCTTTCAATTCTTCTTCTCAGCAGTATGCAGTTTGAGGGTGTGGCTCTTGCCACTAATATGCTGCTTCAATGAAAATTCATTCATGCACCAAATGTCACACAAATCGCAGCACAGTCTAGTCTCGATTTTCATGCTTCGTCCGACTCCTTTGCCTTCCATCGCCTGAGCTTTGTGCTTTTGGCCCATGAAATGCATCTGAAGATTAGGAAAAGAAGTGCACTGCACCTCACAAACTTCACAATATAACTTCCTCATCTTACCATTATTGTTGTAATTAGCCTGAAATTGTTGAGTAGGAGTAGGTGCCTCTTTTCTTTTGTGGCTAAAGCCTAAAGTGGGCTCGAACCTCTGGCCAGAAGGGGTCGATAGTGAACTGGGCCTTGGACCTGTATTTGGGCCAGCGCGTGAGGTCTTTTGCCATGGAAGTGATGGACGTGGGCTTTGAGGCATGTATGGACGTGGGCCTGCTATTACTGATTTCAGCCTTGGGCTTGTCTGAGATGAGAAATTGGGTCTTGGGACTGAGCTTGGGCCTGTATGAGATGTGAAATTTGGCCTTGGGACTGAAGTTGGGCTTGTTTGAGATGTAAAATTTGGCCTTGGGACTGAACTTGGGCCTGCCGGAGATGAGTAAATGGGCCTTGGGACTAAACTTGGGCCTCGAGGCAGGAGTTTCATCGGGTTCTTCATTGTTTTGGGCCATGGTACTGAAAATGAAGAGCCTGTCTTTCGAGTTGGATTAGGTGATGAATTCTCGCTTAGTTTGGGCCTCGGGTTTGGAATTCGGCTTGGCCTTGTCTGAATTGTCTCTGAAGTTGGCCTTGAAGCCGGCACTGAAGTTGGCTGCAAGGATTACATGCATAGACAAGCTGTTAATCATTTATGTAATTAGTATAATCATGCAAAGTAACATGTCAGATTTGGCAGAATTATGTTATGGAATAACCAATACAACTAACATGAAGTATATGAAACATAGGTTTCTTACATTAGAAGGTGCAGGGACTTGTTTGGCTTCAGTGCTTTTGATCAGCTGCATTAACTCCAAATGTTCGCGATATGCCATCTCCCTCTTAATTGCAAGCTCAGCTGAAATCTCATACTTACCCCTTGCACTACCCATATTTTAGTTTTCAAAAGACTGTCAAAATCAGATTACCAGGAAGATATGGAAGAAGAGACTGTTAGGATATTATATATAGTCTGAGTGTCTATGTAGTGGGATCTCAAAGATGGTGCATATATATTTTTCTGATGAAGAATGTGGAGGCTATTCTTGTAATTTTCTTAGTACTATTGTATGGAGGAACTTATTCTGTTTTTGCTGCTTGCAAAGTCATGAACTTATTCCATGCTAATTGTGTGAGTTCAGACTTCAGAGATATCCTTTGTCCTCCTCGTACTAGAATCAGATATCTTTATCATACAAAAGAAGTATATGATTAATAAATGATTACATATTTATAAACAGTACAAATGCTAGCTTTTCTAGTGCCTTTGTTCAGTAAATGGGAGAAAAGATGCCACCAAAATCATGTCATTTGCTTGTCGATAATGAAGGCTCTTGGATGAAGTTCACACTCTTCACAGATCGTGGATATTACTTATTACTTCCTATTATAATTTTGATTTTGTAGAGAATGTCATAAGAGTATAAGTCCTATGATGATAACTTAAACATGGTGCAAAAACAAAACGAAAAGATACATGGCGCAAATATTCATTTAAAGACAGTTGAACCTTTGATTTCCATAAAAATAAAGCTTCAATATGCACTGAATTGCAGCTTAACAGCTAAAAAAGCCATACGCAGAAAACAGGCCTCAAGTTTACTCTTAACTATCTTATACTGCCACACTACCAAGTATATATTGTATGTCCAAATAACCATATTAATCAATTGAGCAATGGTAATACCCAATCACAGCTTAATTTTTTTCCCGGCAGCATGTAGTTTGAGAAAGTGGCTCTTGCCATCAAGATGTAGCCTGAAGGAGTTCTCATCTGTACACCAAATTCCACACAACTCACAGTATTTATGCTGTTTTACACCCTGCAGTGGCACACCACCTGCAGAAACTTTCTTACTGTTTGTATCTCGCTGTTTGGCCTTGTGCTTGTGACCCTTGAAGTGCATCCTGAGATTGAACTCGCTGGTGCAGTCGACATCACAAAGCTCGCAGTAATATTTTTTTGCTTCAACTTGCTGATGGATTGGTTTCTTCCTCTTCAGATGACCATGATGATGAATAGGACCTGGTTTTAGACGAGGGCCTTGAAACGGAGGTGGCCTCAGAAGTGGTGTTGAGCCAGTAATTGGTCCATGATGCTGCAAGTAAGGCCTTGGCAGCAGAGTTTGCACTGGTCTAGGTCTAGATCCAAAATATGGGCGCGGAGTAGGATTGTTGGTGGGCGCCACAGTCAGACCCGAACTTGCATTTGAAGTAGGCTGTAGAATTGCCCTTGGAGCATGGCTAGAAGTTGGTGCTAACACCTGGTTGATACTCGAACAAAAGAAAACTAATTAAGCTTAAAAACACTTTAGTCAACCAGATAAAGTGATTGATCAGAGTAAAGAACACGAGTTGCTATGTTTGTTTCTCTAAAAATCAACGATTCAGGGCAACTATGAATGATCTATGATAACTATACATCCACTGATTTTTCTTATTAAATATCTGAAAACAAGCATAACCTGTTAATTCAATCTTATATCTTTCATAAAAATATACTAGTATTGTAGTAAACTACGAATGAAGTATATTTTTTACTTAGATGCGAACTAACATATACATTCATACATTCATACCCAATGTGCTAATACGTAATTAAGCTTAATGTCATAATACATTGTATGGTCGATATCTTATACATCAAATGTACACCAAATACCCCATTCGGCCTGATATTAATAGTTACATATACTATTCCGTATTAAAACAAAACATCTATTAAGCAAGTATTCAACACTTGAAAATTTTGATAAAGTGATGTGGATGCTTCTGATATTAAAATTTAAGGCCTTAAACCCATGCTTTAAAGATATAAAACAGCTAGTGAAGTTGAAAGCCTATACATAACCCTTGTTAATGAAGCATAATACGTAGTAACAAATTTTGTTCCTTCTATTTTCAAGCACTCCATGTAATCTAACATGGAGAAATACCCTTGTTAAAAAAGCATAATTATAAATTCGGATTTGGTTGTTACATTACTAGTTCAAATCATACTATCAACTCGTAAATATTAACTTTGGACCGAAAGGAATAAATTGTTACCTTAGGAGGCAGGGGATCATTCCTGGTAAACATATTAAGTCTTCCTTCAGCTCTGAGCTTTTCCCTGAATGCCATTTCTCGTTTCATTGCAAACTCTACTGACATCACATAATTTTTCCTATCAGCTGCCATTTTCCTCTCTAATATTCCTGCAATATTTCATATTGAGTTGAATATCAAAAAATCATTAAATTTTACTGAATATTAACAATACCCTTCAATAATGTTATTGCAACAACCCAAAAATGCAACCTTTTTGTAATCATACAATGCACAATATTGGCAAAAAAAAACTCAAAAGTTTGGAACTTTAACTTTCAAAACATACGGATACAACCACAGATCAAACAAATGAAAAAAAAAAAAAAAGTGATTTTGATTTAGTATTATCAGACAATTCATAACTTTGATGCAAGTAACACACACTTTAGCCAGAAAATCATGAAATATGGTACGAGTAGTAAAATTTATGGAGCCGCTAAGAAATTTTTACCTTAAGTAGTATTTATTGAAAGTAATATGATCGTTGCCTTGCATTAATTATCTTGAGAGTATAAATATACAAATTTACATGAGATAATCTTGCGGATTGACTAGCTACCAATTAGGCTATAAATTAGACTAGAAGATATACATTAACCAAATTAGTTATGTACAAAGTCAAACTAGAATATATTGCCATATATTCTAACACTCCCCCGCAGTCGAAGCGGGAGCATCACGAACGCTAAGACTGGCACGGAAGTCATCAAACAAAACCCGGGGAAGACCCTTCGTAAAGATATCTGCAATCTGATAACGAGAAGGAACATGTAAGACTCGTACCTCGCCTTTAGCGACTTTCTCACGAACAAAAAGAATGTCCATCTCAATGTGTTTTGTGCGTTGATGTTGCATTGGATTTCCAGAGAGGTAGATGACACTCACATTATCACAATAAACAATAGTTGCTTTTTGAATAGGAAAATAGAGCTCGAGCAACAAGTTCCTGATCCAACAAGAATCAGATACCACATTAGCAACCCCACGATATTCGGCCTCACCACTGGACTTAGATAATGTAGGTTGCCGTTTAGAGGACCAGGAAATCAAATTATCCCCTAAAAATACACCTGAAGTAGACCGCCTGGTGTCGGGGCATCCCCTCCAGTCCGCAGCAGTATTAGCAACAAGTTTGGTGACGGAGGATTTATACAGATGCAAACCAAAAGACAAAGTACCCTGTAAGTAGCGTATGATACGCTTCAAGGCTCCCATGTGCGCATTGCACGGTGCATGCATATGGAGACAGATCTGCTGTACTGCATAAGAAATGTCAGGTCTAGTAAAGGTTAGATACTGAAGAGCACCAGCAAGACTCCTGTACTGAGTGGGATCCTCATACGAAGCATCATGAGAAGCACTAAGTTTGGATTTCGTGTCCACAGGAGTTGGACACGGACTACAGTTCGACATGCCTGCCTTCTCAATAATGGAAATAACATACTGTTTCTGAGACAAGAACAAACCATTAGCATCACGAGTAACAGCAACACCCAGAAAGAAACTTAAAGGACCTAGGTCCTTCATTGCAAATTCGGAGCTCAGAAGGTCCATGATGTGAATCCGGAGTTGGGCAGATGATGAAGTAAGAATGATATCATCAACATATGTAAGCAGTATCAGTCCCCTGTCTGTAAATAAATAGAGAGTTATCAGATTTACTGTTAGCAAATCCAATAGAGATTACAAAATCCGCAAATCGCTGATACTAGGCTCGAGGAGCCTGTTTTAGACCATAAAGAGATTTCCGTAGTAGACAAACATGATCAGGGCGATCTTTGTCTCGAAAACCCATGGGCTAAAGCATATACACTGTTTCATTGAGATAACCATGCAGAAAAGCATTCTTGACATCCAGCTGATGGATCGGCCAAGAGTGTGAAGTGGCAATGGAAAGAACAGTACGAATAGTCGCCGGTTTGACAACCGGACTAAAAGTCTCATCACAGTCAATACCCTGCTGCTGAGTCTTGCCATCACCTACAAGGCGAGCCTTATACCGCTCAAAAGAACCATCAGAATTTTGTTTATGACGAAATATCCACATAGAACGAATGACATTCATATTAGGAGGCCGAGGAACCAAATCCCATGTATGATTAGCAATTAGAGCATTAAATTCTTCACACATAGCATTTTTCCAATTAGGGTCACGAATAGCACTAACCGGGTTCTTGGGGATAGGAGATATAGTTGTAGTGGTCATCGTGTTTAGGTTGGAAAAATATTTTGGGTTAGGTTTCGAGATACCATCTTTGGCTCGGGTGGTCATAGGATGGGTAGGAATAGTTGGCTGACTTGAAGTGTGGGTGGTGGAGAGAGGGCTGCTGGCAGGCAGTGAGGAGGAGGGATCCTCATTTCTGGAAGAAGTGAGGATTGGACTGTCAAACAAGGGAGGTAGGAGAATAGGGGTATGCTGGGCTGATTTTGGCGAGCCCACATGCGTAGGTGTGACAGAAGGGGTGGAGGGTGGGCTGTTGTGAGAAGAAGGCCCAGAAGAAAGAGGAGGGGTTGGCTGTCCAGCAGAAGAGATGGACTGGGCCGGAGAATTAGAGGGAGGATCGGGCTGAGTGGTGCGCAAATGGGGAATGTGATTTAATGGATTGTAGTCCAAGAAATCATAATCATTAGTTTGGGGGTTGTGATATTTCGAGAACGGAAATTCGTTTTCTATAAATTTCACATGCCGACAAATTATGATTTTGCCATTTGATAAATTATAGCACTTCGAACCACGATGATTTGGCGCAGGGCCGAGATACACGCAAGGAGTGGATCGCGCTTGCAATTTGTGTATGGAAGTGGAAGGGAAGAGAGGAAAACATAAGCAACCAAATACTCGTAAAGCCGAATAAATCGGATCACGATGGTATAAGACCTGAGTAGGAGAATGATAATTTAAGATCTTGGTTGGTAAAATGTTTAGAAGATAAATAGCCATGGTTAGAGCATGATGCCAAAAAGAATGGGGTAAGGAAGCATGAGCAAGAAGGGTCCGAATAATATTATTGATTGATTTTATGTGGCGTTCAGTTTTTCCATTTTGTTGGGATGTGTGAGGAAAAGAAAGACGATAGAGCATGCCATGATTTTCAAAAAATTCTTTGAGAGTACCATTAACATACTCTGTGCCATTATCACATTGGAAAGTCTTAATGTTACGTTCAAATTGAGTATGGATCATCTTATGAAAGAATTGGAAAATATGTTTAACTTGAGATTTCTTTGCAATAGGATAAGTCCATAAAAATTTGATGTAGTCATCAAGAAATAAAAGATAATAACAATGACCAGAAGAACTAATAATAGGAGAAGTCCACAGATCACTATGAATGATATCAAAAGGAAAAACAGTGTGCGACATAGAATCATAAAAGGGTAGTTTAACGTGTTTCCCTAAAGGACACGATGAACAAAGAGAATTACAAGCCTTATTACAGTCAATAAATTTTTGAGTATTCAAAGTTCTAAGAACAACATCGCCGGGGTGTCCTAAGCGATTATGCCAAAGATCGGAAGAAGTAGCAGAAAAATTTGAATGTATGACAGAGTTGGCTTGATTGGTTGGAAAGAGTGGATATAGGTCACCGGTACTGTCACATCTCATTAGGTGGGCCCCCGTCTGTAAATCATTCACAGAAAAACCATAAGGATCAAAGGAAATAGAAACTTTATTGTCAGTTGTGAATTTTCGGACGGATATCAAGTTCTTTATTAATTTGGGAGCATGCAAAACATGGTTTAGGGTAAATGGTGGGTACGGGTAGGGGAAAGTAGTACTACCATGACCAATAATTGGAATTAAATCACCACTACCAACAATAATATTATGATTTTTATTGCTCGAATTGACATAGGGATAGAGAATACCGTGATCGGCCGTCATATGAGACGTGGCTCCAGTATCCAAATAATAATTGGGATCCGCCCGATTTGGATTAGCAAGCATTTGCATAGCTGCTGCAATGTGAGTAGGTGTAGGATTTGGACCATTGTCAAGAGCACTATATGCTTGAGGAACCGGAACAAGAATCCCGGGCCCAATTGATTTGGAGCCTGTAGAAGAAGCAGCAGTCCGTGGTGCCCAAGATTGAGATGGATATGGACAGGGAGGATTGGGCCACTGAACCAGCCACGGGTTCCAGGTAGGCCACGAGAATGGGCCTTGGTGAGGCTGCCAAGGCTGGCCATTCGATGGGCCAGAGTGTTGCTGGATTGAACCAAAAGGGCGCCCTTTACCAGAAGACTTGGAATTCGACTTCTTTGGCTTGTTGCCTTTGTTGTTCGACTGTGAAGTGTTGACAGAAGAGTCAAGATGCTGCTGACTGCCGGTGGAGGAGACGAGGGCTGTAGGTGGGCGACTGGTGGACCCATTTTCCTTGGCGAGGCGGTTCTTAATAGTGCGCTCGGCCAGCTTGAGGCGGGAACGACAACTCTCGAAAGACGGAAGAGGTTCCTGATTTCGGATGAAATCAACCGTTCCGGCATAAGCCTCTGGAAGACCAGCTGTCAGTTTGAGAATGAGACGAGTAACGGGAATTGGAGCATCAACATCCGCAAGGCGATCGGCAAGGGATTTGATGTGATTGCAATAGCCGTCAATGTCGGAGAAATCCTCGAAAGCAAGGTCAGCAAGTTCTTGTTCGAGATGAGAGGCCGGTGATGCTTTATTGTCCTGGAACATTGACTCAAGGCGAGTCCAAGCACCATGAGCGGTGTCATCCTTAAGTAGGATTGCAGTGAGAAGATCGGGAGAAATGGAACCATAAATCCAGTTGAGGACCGCGGCATCCAAACGTTTCCAATAAGCAGGGTCTGCCTTCTTGGAGGTTTCATATGCAGTGAGTTAAGAGGCATCCGTAGGAGGAATGATGTGAAAGGTGAGATCATGAACCCTGCACAGCACTTTAAAAAGTGCAGCCCAAGAGTGATACAATCCATGATTGGATTCTAAGGTAATCGGGATGAGAGTCTTTAAGTTGGTAATCGTAAAGGCAGGATGATATTTTGGAGTTTCAGCCATGGAAGATAAGCAGCGGAAGAAATTGAGAAATTGAGGAAGGAGATGATGGGATAGAGGATGATAGGATCGAAACCCTAATCTGATACCATTAAAGTAATATGATCGTTGCCTTGCATTAATTATCTTGAGAGTATAAATATACAAATTTACATGAGATAATCTTGCGGATTGACTAGCTACCAATTAGGCTAGAAGATATACATTAACCAAATTAGTTATGTACAAAGTCAAACTAGAATATATTGCCATATATTCTAACATTTATACTTGATGAAAAGCCTGATTAATGAACATAAATGGATTGAAGATTCAGAAAGTTAGGTTTTTTCTTTTTTTTTTTTTTTTTTGGTGGAAATTACAGTATGATGAAATTTGAGCGTGTTTGATGGGTTTTTTTTGGGGGGGGGGGGGAGACTAAGCTAGTTTCAGCAATGAGGGTGTAGTGGCTTTCTAGATTGTGGTGTAATTGTGAGGGTGCTCTAGTCTTTTCACTAGATGGATTTGTACTGTAGTAGAAACACTTGAATTTCATGTTACATTTTTATCAACCTATCCCAATAAATCACAACTCACGAACGTTTAAACACAAGGTAAGTTTGAAATTTTTTATATACACCCGGGTGCACTATGCACCCGACTAACTAAAGATTAGTTTTTTATTTTCATTTGATGATAAAATGAAAACAATCATTAAAGTGAGAACAAGATATTTATGGGTGCACCGTGCACCCGGATGTATATAACAATCGTTTAAAGTTTTAATAAGGGGAGAGCAGCTTGGTTGTAGATGAAACAATTGGTAATGTGGGTGGAAAATAAGGGGTGGTTTGAGAAGTATAGGTAAAAAAAATTAGAGGATTAATTGGAGTGTTTGGTGAAAAGTCTATCATACGTGAGGAGACTTTTATGAGAGAAGTGTGTAAGTGTTGCTATGTGAATCAAATGTCCTATCTGTTATGTACTATCACAAATACAAAATTAATCATCAACCAAATGTCCTTGTACATGTATAATTGAAAAGTGTAATCTTTGTTGAAATGCCATGTTTTCTAAGAGTACATATTCTTTTTTCTAATTTGATGGTCACTGAGCACCAAAGATGTGAATGCTACGATACTGAAAGCACCATGAAGTGTGCAATAGAAAATAAGTTTACAAGACATTATGTGCAATGTGCATATTGTATGACTCTAGTTGTATAATACGAGTACCAAACAAAACCCAAGCTTTGTAATACTACTAAAATTCGAAACAAAAAACAGTGGACGAATTTGTTAATAAAGAAGATTAACCATACACTTCCTAGTGTCTTGATAAGAACATCCATACATATAACAGGACACTTGATTTATATTCTTAAATGCAGCAGAATTTTGGTGGATAATACTAATGAATGAACGATGAACGACAAACATATTGTTAGTCCTCCCTTCACCTGACCTAAAATGGCATTATTAGAGAGCAATTAACTGTCTGATATAATTATATAGTGTTATATGACCATTCTTTTTTTATGGCATTATCAGAGAGCATTAACTGTGATATAATCATACAGTGTTATATGACCATCCTTTTTTTCATCAGCCAATCATACTGTCGGAGAATGTGGTTCGTGCAGCTGAAGTGCAGCCTGAAAGTATACTCGTCAGCACACCAGATCCGACACACATCACAGTAAGGTCGTTTCTCATTTTCTCTTGGTGTTGATCCAACAGCAACTTCCTTACCCTTTTCACCTCGCACTTTGGCCTTGTGCTTTTGACCTTGGTAGTGTGACAGTAGATTGAAGCCAGTTTTGCAGTCAAGCTGACAAACTTTGCATGTGAAAATTCCTTCTGGAAGAGGTACAGGGCCATTCCGGCGCTGATCAGCAGACCGGGATGGACATGAACTTGGGCTTGGTCTTGGATGTGGGGGATATGGATACGGAGAAGGCCTTGCAGGTGGTACTGAACCGTGATTCTGAGGCAAGTAAGCTGAATTCATATTCACATTCAAAGTTGGCCGAGGTGTTCCCCTTGTATCTTGGCTTGAAGTTAGTCTTGGCACCTGCACAAAATAGGTAACTACTCGGATAACTAACAAAAGTTCAAGCAAACAAGAAAATTTTGAGCAAAGAATTTAAGAACCACGCACCTCAGAAACATTTCTTACTACTTCGTTCCCCTTTTTGTGTGTGCAAATGTGTATTTTAAGGGAATTCCTCTACCTAAGGAAACGTGGTGTACATTTGGTTCTCCCCGGACTTGCCAATTGCATCATATACACTAGGTTGTGCCATTAATCAATGTCTAAAAGAGTTTTAACACCGAAATCAGTAAAATTCTGTATAGATTTCAGCAGCTGTAAGTTATATCAAGCTCTAACCATTCTATATGATATGGCCTTCCTTGCCACTCCGCGACAACACAATTAAAACAGATACATTATCTATGTATGGGACATTGCGAACATGCTTATGCCACAACATGTACAGACAGGGGATACAGCTGCTGTTGTAATTGCAACAGTATCTTGAAATTTGAATATCAAAAGCTTAAAGCTACTCAATATCTTGCATAATGAATGATACCAAATTAGCATCAAAATTTGAGATGAAAATCAAATCTATTACCAATTTTAACAGAATATATGCTAAATGTTCAATTAAAGGCTAAATAAGCTCACATAAGGGCAATCGAGTTCAATTCACAATACAAGGTCATTTCTTTAATGCTCCGATAAGGGTCAATAAGTTCACATAAGCACTTTTAAGGTGAAAGAACAATAGCCTAATTTATAACGCTTACAACTTACCATTAAAATATTAAATCCAACTAGTTAAATTCCCCCATCCCCTACACAGTACACACACATAGAATTACACAAGTCATGACTACTAATTAAAATTACAGTATCACAATTCAACGTGACAATTAATTCTGAACCGATGAATAACTAATACGAAGCATAATATAAAGATTGAAAATCAATAGCAAGAAAATAACCTCTGGTAAGTGAGATTGGGCAGAACCTTTTATTTCCAGCTTTTTCCTGTAATCCATATCTCTTTGCATAGCAAATTCTACCGACATGAAATAATTCTTTCTGTCAGCTCGGATTGCCATTTCTTATCTCTCCCTCTCTGATATACAATCCCAAATTCTCTACTTATAATTGTGAAATCTCTTCATAAAAATTCAATGCAATCTGCATTTCTGCAAGATTTATCAGCAAAATTATCCAAATTTCCTAATTTTTAACAATGTACAAAACTGTTCTTGGAGTCTTACCTCTTCAATGGTGAGTGCATTGACCAGTTTGTTATTGATAAACCAACTACTCAGAACTCAAGTACTGAGTGAGGACTGAGTAGTTGTTGGTTCCAATAGGAGTGAAAAAAAAAAAGTGTTATTTTTATCGCTTTTTTGAGAATCAGGGATTCAGGGTATTCCATTTGTCAACACATTATGGCTTGTTTCATATGGAGATCGGATCTACTCATCATCCACGGATGGTAATGGGTCGTGTCGTGTCACGTGATAGGCCAATTATCAATTCAAAGGAGTGACTAGGCCTAATCGACTCATATGCACATCACGTTAAGCCTAATGGTCGAAGTTATATTTTAGTAATTTTTGCTGTGTTTATGTTTTTAGTCGCACCTATCGTGTTGGACCGTGTTTCGCCAACTAAAAATATAGAATATTCACAATTTTCAGTATAGCCCATTCCAATACCATAGTTGTGAGAGTACGTCTCGATAGTTGTTATGTGTTGTCTACATTTTTGAACATTTAGTAAAAAAATTTGAACACTTTACAAAAATAAATATACATTTTATATAAAAAAATATTAACACGTCACAAAAAATGAACATAAATATCCAATTTTATATGTTCATATTTTATAAAGAAACGTTTATTTTATTTGCAGTAAATGTTCAATTTATATTACAAAACTATTGAATTATTACAAGTCAGACAAACTTCTTTCAAAAAATTGATGTTTATTATATAATGTTTTATTTAATATACTACATGTTCAAAATTTGCTATGGTTCAAATATTTTACTAAATGTTCAAAATTTGCGATTGTGCAAATTTTTTGACTATATGTTCAAAAATAGAGGCGTGGTGCAGTGCGATTGTTCAGATTTTTTTACTAAATGTTCAAAATTTGATATATTCAGGTTTTTTTTACTAAATGTTCAAAATTTGCAATTGTTCAGACTTTTTTTTACTAAATATTCAAAAGTATAGGCATGGTGCAGGGTGCACCTTAAAATTTGCGAGTACGTCTTAATGGTTTAACTGTATTTTCATTAGATCTTTACTTCAAAAGGCCAACCCAAAATCAAACGTTAAATTATTTTTATAGAATAATCTTACTTTTAATTTTGCCTTTTCACTCTGTCTTCACTTTCAACCTTATGAAGTGTAAATAACATTTTTTTATTTTACTTTTTCTGGGTTGGTAAGGAGAAGGGTTCTATGGGGCCGGAACCTCTCATAGGTTCTCTCCGCCTGAGTCAGCGAGCTAGGCATTTTGAGAGTAGGGAAAGGATAAGGGAATCTCCACCCCAAAGTGCCATTATTGGAGTAAACGGAAATAACAGTTGAGTCTAAGGGAAAGATAGCAATAGAGTGAAGAAATGCACAATATCTTAATTAATCAATACTAATATCATAGTCACATTTGCTTACTTTTTCATGGAATGTTTTCTATTTTTTCTAATTATGTGCATTAACCTAACCAACTAACATAGGTGTGTTTAGTGCTAAAGGTACTAAAAAGTTAGAGAATCATGTTACGTACACTTGACTACAAACATATATGGATTTTATATTCCTTTGGTTGGGTTAATTTTTAGCTCTCTCTATGTTTAAGTACATACAAATATACAATCTTGTCCAGTATGTACCTAAAGATTAAACTTTTAACTTACTAAGCTTGTATGGCTCATGATCCCAAATTACGCTGTCTGTATGGCTTAATAACTAGAATATACTCCTAACCAAGAGAGTAAAAAAAAAAAAGCAACACTAAAAACATTACAAATACTTCGTATAAGATGGCCTATAATTTCCTGAGTTCCTGACAACAATTTCGAGCAGCAAAATCCTGAATACACCATAATACAGCATTTTGATATATTCATATTTTAAGCTAAGTACTTGTATAAGTAAAGACAGAAGAAAAACAATTTCTCCCAGTTTTATTAGTGTTATTCTTGAAAACAATGAATTAGATGTGTACAAGAAAAATGATTACATGTAATCCTATGTACTGTATGTACCTATTCTGTGTGTCTGACTGTAAAACCAAAACAGAAACCTCTAAAATTATGAACACTTTTTTTTTTAACTCAAAACTGAAGTCCTATACATCACAAACTACAGAAACATAATCTAACTCCTTACAGATATCTCCTTCATAGCCTAAGATTTTAACCAGCATTGACAATACCTCCTTCATGTTAGGCCGCGCTTGAGGTGCCTCTGAAGTACATTTGATTCCGATGTTTAGCAGTTCTCCCATCTGTGATGCACCTTCATTTTTCCCTGGTCCTACTACGAGCCCCGGGATTGTGGAATGATCTAATCCTAGCTGATTATTTTTATTCATGACTCTTCTTGCCCACTCTAACAGACACTCCTCCCCATCATCTACTGCCCTCCTACCTGTCGCGAGCTCCATGGCTAATACTCCAAAGCTGTAAACATCGCCTTTGGTTGTTGCTTGCCATGTTTGGCTATATTCAGGTGCAACATACCCTACTGTCCCGGCAACTGTGGTTGTGACATGAGTCTCCCCTGCATCAACCATTCTTGCTAGACCGAAATCTGTGACTCTAGCTTTTCCGTTTCTGTCTAATAGTACATTGCTTGCTTTCACATCTCTATGCACTATTGAAGGGTAGCACTCATGATGGAGGAAGACTAAGGCACGAGTTACATCGATTGCAATCTCAACTCGCTTTTTCCATTTTAGCCGTGTTCTGTCTGAGATGAGATCCTCTAAGGTCCCCCCTTCCATGTACTCATACACCAGCAATTTGTCAGCCTTATCAAGGCACCAACCATAGAGGTTGACAAGTTTTGGGTGAGGCCAGTTGACACCTTGCTGTGTAAGGACTTCCATTTCTGCTCGGAATTCTCGTTCTCCTTCAATGCCTCCTCTCTGTAGCTTCTTCACAGCAACTACTCTTCCATCAGGGAAGACTCCTTTATAAACTGTCGCGTACCCTCCTCTCCCAATCTCTCTGTCTTCAGAGAAATTTCCTGTTGCTTTCAGGATATCAGAGTGTGTGAATGCTGTTTTGTCGAGCCTAATGACTTTGATGGCATCTGACATCCAAGGTGAGGAAGAGCTGCTCGAGCAAGAAGAACTATCATGCCGGCATTTGGTGTCTTTTAAGAGATACAATGATGGTTTTTCTGACGGACTTTTTACAAAGTTGTAGACTAAGACTGAGAGCACACCACATATTAACAAGACAAGAACCAATATTGCAATGACTAAAGAGGTTGCTATCTTTGCAACTGATCGAAAACTGTGAGATCGTTCATTATTCTTGGATGAGTTTGTGGGACTTTGGATAAAAGATGGAAGGACTAATTGAGGATCACCAAGGTAAGAGCTCTTCTCAAACGTTGCTAGTTGCCCGGTAGAAGGGATTACACCGGAAATGAGTGGATTGAAAGAGATATTGAACTTGTTCAGCCCATCCAAATCGCTCAAACTCGTAGGAAAAATACCTGAGAAGTTGTTCCAGGACAAATCAAGGTCTTGCAGACACTTGACGTTTCCAATTTGCATAGGAATTGTGCCTGAGAAATTATTCCTCGATACGTTTAGAAAAACAAGGGACAATTTCTCAATGTCTGAGGGCAAAGCACCATTAAAGTTATTCTCAGCAAAATGCAGCATGCTAAAGTTCTTCATATTACCAATTTCAGAAGGTAATTCACCAGAAAATTGATTTCCTGTCAGCTGAAGATAGCCTGAAATCTGCAATGTCTGAACTTTTGAGCCGGGTTTGCAAATTGGAAATAGACCATACCCTTTTAGTATCCTGTCCCATACATTTCTACAACTCTTTCTAGTAAGCAAACTGTACACAAAACTAAAAGGAGGGTACTTTTCAGGTATCCATCTCCTCATTGCCAAACACTCCCCTGAGCCGGGAACAAGATTTCCTCGTCTATTCGACATGAATGTAGGCATAGGATTGCTCCCAATGTTTGTCAGTTCAGTTGGGAGTTTCCCATAAAGTTTGTTATTAGCTAAATTCAGCCATAACAAGCTGCTGCAGTTTCCCAACTCAGGTGGAATTTCACCTGTTAAGGAATTATTCGCGAGCATAAGCCAAAGAAGGGAAGTTAACTTCCCCAAACTTGGTGGGATAGAACCAGTTAATCTGTTAAATGAGAGATCAAGGGCTAGAAGCTGATTAAGACTTCCATATTCAGAGGGAATTTTCCCTGTAAAATTGTTATAAGCAAAGTCTAAGAATTGCAAACTAACCATCTTCGAGATCTGAACAGGAAGAGGACCTGAAAAGTTATTGTAGCTGAGGTCTAATCTCTGAATGTTAGGCAATATTAAAATCCCAGAAGAATTCAACCCTCTGGTGAAGGAATTCCCATGTAACACCAGAACTTGCAGCTGAGTAAATCTCCCAAGAATTGGCGGTATATCATTGCCAAGAGCATTCCTGCTAAGATCCAGAAACTTCAGATTTCTGCACTGCAGTAGTGTTTCTGGTATCTGCCTTGTGAAGTTATTTCCTCCAAGAATCAACACTCGAAGGTTAGGAATCGACCCGAAAGTATCAGGAACACTCCCAGTGAAATTGTTCCCACCTAAGATCAAGGTAGACAAGTTTTTGCACTTGGAAATTTCATCAGGAAAATTCCCTGTAAAATTATTTTCTGACAAGTCTAAGGTCTCCAAGCTGCAGTTACCCTCAAATAACTCGGGAACAATCAACCCCGAAAACTCATTCTCCCCAACGTCGAATGCCTTCAGCCTAGCGAAATCAGGCCAGACCTTTCCATAAAAATTATTTGCACTAAGATCAACATACTCCAACTTCGAACACCCATCAAAACACCCATCAATAGTCCCTGTAAAATTATTAGTAGAAATGTTCAAGACCCTCAAGTTGCTACATATTGCAGGGAAACTAGCCCGAATTTCGCCACCAATACTATTCAATGACAAATCTAACACCTCCAAGCTACTCAAACCAGTTAAATTCAGCTCCCCCTTAAGTGTATTATGTGACAAATTAAGGTGCTTAAGGCTTTTACACCCACTCAAATCACTAGGAATCACGCTTAAGGTATTCCCTGACAGGTCAACAGAACTGAGTTCTGACAATCCTGAGAAGTTCCCTGATATCTCCCCATTCAGGCTACTCTTTGATAAATCGATTCCGGTGACTCGACGTGTACCGGGATTACAGGCTACACCAGACCAATTACAGTGGTCTGAACTGAACTTATTCCAATCTGCATATTTTCCTCTGTTCACCTTATTCTTTTCTTCCAAAAATGACTTCAAATTCAGCAAAATAACTCTGTCACTTCCTGCTTCCTCAGTTTGAGCATCTGCTTTGGTGATTGTGCCTAATCATTGACATTCATTACCCATAAATCAGTTCATTAATAATGTTGTCAGAAAAATCTTTCTTGAAATCCACACCATTATATTTATTTTTAACAATATAATATAAAGTACCCTATAAATAACAAACCCGAAATAATATTTATTATATTAAAAAAAATGAGTAAAACTTGAACGGGTACCTGAAAATACAAGGAAGAGGACAAATAATAGCGGAATTATGAAACTATGGTGAACCAATTTGTCATAATGTTCTTCTACCATGATCAATTTATTACTTGCACTTTTTTCTTCTTCGTCGTCCTCCTCGTCCTTGCCCTTGTCCTCGTCCTCGTTTTCTTACCCTATTAACCTTCTTAGTTATAGTATTGAAAAGATTTCATGGCGGAAAAAATGAGAGAATTTTGTGCTATATTACTAGAACTTTTTACAAGAAAAATTAAAATAAATGTTGGGAAAATATAAGAGTACCATACCAAACAAGGAACTAAATTCTTGGTGGTCAACAAAATGGAAAAAGAAAAGCGTAAGATGGTTGGCTTATTAATGTAGTTTCCTAAAGTAAATGGAATAAAGTTTTTTTTTTTTTTTTTTTTTTTTCTTATTTATGAAATTTATTTTTTTATTTTCATAAAATTTAATATATGGTTGATGGAGTAAGTAACAATATATTTCATGTCATAGTTTTTGCAAGGGTCATGGGTAGAATGAGCCGCCCATTTTGACTAGACCGGTTTTTTTATTTTAAATGAGCCGGTTTTGTTATTGAGTTGAAATATATGACTATAAAAAAGGTGTTAAAAATAAAAACCTCTATTCTAGAACGTGGTTTATATGGTGTGAGTAATTTTCTTTGCTTCTTCTTTCTATATTAAAGTTTTAACTAAGTTTGAAAATATGGGAGTTGAGCTAAGAAATTTCTTCGTCAATGTTAGGTAACTTTTGTTTCTTTTCTTTTTTGTGGGTGTGGGGTATGAACAAGAAGCCTTATCAAAAACAATTACTCAAGTATAATTAGAGAAAATATAGATATATCAAAACGACATAATAGTCATCTTATTTATATGATAGAATTAAATACGAAGTGGCTTAATCGGTATGCAATTCTTGATTTTAACAAATTTAATTACAATACTTGTAAATTAAAATCCTTAATCAAAGCATAAATTTTACAAATTTTTATATGTGGACGAGTTACTCGAGTTACTCGATCAGGGTTATTTGAGGGGTTCGGTCAGGGGTTACTCTATCAGGGGTTATTTGAGGGGTTCGGTCAGAGGTTACTCGGTCAGAAGTTACTTGAGGGGTTCGAACAGGAGTTACTCGTTCAGGAGTTAATCGAAGGGTTACTCGGTCAGGGGTTATTACTCGAGGGGTTACTCGGTCAGGATTTACTTGAGGAGTTCGATTAAGGGTTACGTGAGGGGTTACTTAGTTAGAGGTTACTCGGTCAGGAGTAACTCGAGCAACCCCGACCACACGGGCTAGCCACACAAAAAAATCCGCCGTAATCAAAGACCTTGAAAAACTATACAGCATTGGAGAACCCATTTTTTTTTTTTTTGAAGGATTGGAGAACCCTTATTTTGAAAAAAGTAAATATGCAAAAAGGTTGTAGTCTGCTAAAAACAATAGATTAACTACTAATAGATATAGGGATATTCTATTTGGTGGTCTCATTGTTTTAAAAATTCTACATGGAAGACGAATTATTTTTGGACTCTCTTCAGTGGCACCAAGACTTAGAAAATTGACCATAGTGGCTTATTTTATATTTATGGCTAACCTTTTTAGTTAAAATTGTTAACCTTTGGTTTTTTTTAATAAAAATTATTTAAATTATATTTTAAAATAATAAATGAAAAAAGAAAATAAAAAAAAATTCCTAGCCACTCCACAAACCCTAACATTGCCGGAATCCAGCTAGCCACCAAAACCCGACCACCGAAACCACCTCCCAGCCCAACCCCCGACCACCGAAACCCAGCCTCTACCTACGATAACCCCACCAACACCCGCGTCCGGCGTCCTCCTCCTGCCGGCTCAGCCCAAGTCCCCGACCCTCACCCACCTACGTCAGACCCCCTCCCCCACCGCCGGCACTGCGCTTTCCCCACAACAAACAATCACGCAGGGATTTCCGTTGTTGCGGGCTTACGGGGCTGCTGGGTTGCAATTCTTGATTGGTGGCTGTCGCGCGCCGCTTTGGTTTTGGTTGTAGTTGGGGTTGCGCCATTGCGATGTTGGTTGTTGTTGGGGTTGTGCGACTGCGTGTGCTGCTGTGGTGTGAAGAGATGTGGGCTGGGCGGCTATGGTGGTTGTTTGGTGGAGATACGGGCTGCGATGCGGGCGAAGGTTGTGGGTTTTCTGGTTTCAGTGGTCAAGAGCTGGCTGGGAGGTGGTTTCGGTGGTCGGGAGTTAGTGGCTGGACGGATTCCGGCAAGGTTAGGGTTTTTGGGGTGGCTGTGAATTTTTGGGAACTTTTGTTTTTTACTTTTATTTTATTTTTTTAATTTTATTATTTTAAAATATAATTTAAATAATTTTTTAATAAAAAAAAAAAATCAAAGGTTAACCATTTTAACTAAAAAGGTTAGCCATAAACCTAAAAAGGGTCACTATGGTCAATTTTTCTAAACCTTGGTACCACTGAAGAGAGTCCAAAAAATGTTCGTCTTCCATGTAGAATTTTTAAAACCACGAGGCCACCAAATAGAATATCCCATAAATATATATTGAATAATTGTCCAAAAAAAAAATATAAATTGAATAATATTTTTTCTCCTAAAATGAAATCATATATATTGTCAAATTTAATCAAAGTTGGATAACTGGGAAATGGCACATGAATCAACAACACGATTTTTTTGGGATTTAGATTACAAATTATAAAAATCAACCATAAGCTAGCTGTACATTACTTGTTCTTGTTATGTTATTGATATTCTCTTAAATCCTCATACTATTTCAATAATAAGAGTAAAATTTTTAAGTCATATGGCTCAAACAAATCTGAATCATGCGAAAATTAATAACTTCGTAATAAAAGGGATCTTACTGCGAACGCGAACGTTAGATAAGCATTTAAAATATTACATAAAGTAGTATTAATTTGAGAATGCATAACAAAATCACGCATCCATTAGTGTAGTTAATGTTCATTTTAATTTAATATTTCTACATAATTATCTTATCCAACACATTCGGGACGTTCGTTAGCTTTTGCCTTATAAAGGAAGGATGAACCATAAAAATTGAAACTAGCTAAACCAAATTAAACATGACACAACCACTCTTATGATTATTTTTAATTAAAAAAAATAGGCCACGTTGTAAGAGAAATAACACAAATATTAACGCCATTATCCCTAATTAATATAATCAAGTAACTCAAAAAGTTGGAATTAATTCTACAATATGCCTCCATATTTATAATTAGGTGATTACTTATAATTGACACTATGTTAATATAAAGTGCCACAATTGCATTTATTTTTTTTAATTATTTGAATGATGATTTGCAACCTTAATTTCAAGATTGATTGATAGATTACAAATGGTCAAAAGAAATGAGTAAGTATGTTTGGCATAATGGTAACAAAGAGTTGTTGGGCTGCTTACCGATTTGTTAAGCAATAGTTATAAAGTCGCAAATATGTAGCTTTGTTCTATTCAAAGATCTTAAGCTTAAGCATTACACGCATGCATGTTCAATCTTCCTTATATGGTCAAATTTAGGTTTTGTTCACGATGTTTTTTTCTCAATTAATAATAGTGTGCCAACATTGTATTAAGATTTCACAACCCCCCCCCCCCCCCCACCAAATCTATTTTCTAGAAATTTCAGTTGAATTTAATTAACCAGATGAAGGTCCTGTTCTTTTGAGCTTTTGGGCAGGATAGAGTAGAGCAGAACAGGGGTTAGCAGAGCAGATTTTATAATAATAATAATAATAATAATAATAATAATAATAATTATTATTATTATTATTATTATTATTATTATTATTATTATTATTATTATTATCGCATTATTATTATTGTTATTAACAGGCCCGTCGCTGGCCCAGGGCAACTGGGGCGACCGCCCTGGGCCCCCAAAAAAAAGCCCACGTTGTTGTCTTGCTGAAATGAAGCCTAAGAGGTACGGTTCATTTCCATCATTCAAGCTTGTGTAATACATTAACTTCTTTCCTAATATTCAGACAATCTCCTCAACTTCTTTTCCCTAATTTTCGGCCATAATATTCTCTTTCCAAAGTTATTTGATTTCTCCAAAAAAAACGTTTAATCTTCAATCTAATCCCCAAGATGTATTTGTATACAATTTTCAATTTCAGTCAGATGAATTGGGGTTGTTTCGACTTTCGAGATTCAATTGAAGAGGAAAACGATCAAAAACGATAATTTTGCTCATCAATTTTCAACGGGATTTTGCCTAATTATATATAATACTTGCATATACTCCTTAACTCATCAAAGTATATCGTCTAATTTTTATTTTATTTTTTAATTTTTATAGCTGTTTTCGAGTTGAAGAACAATCAGAAGTTGGGGAAAAAAATTGGGAAAAAAAATTCAATTAATTGGTTGAGTTTGGTTCCTTGAATCCTTGGTGAAACAATGGCTTCCGAGTTTCAGATTAATTGGTTGATTTTCAACGGTAATTATATTCTTATTTGTTTGATAAATTGATTTTCCTAAAAATACTAGCGTATAACATGTATTGTATTTTCAGATTTTCAGATTTGAGATATTATTTGGAGTGCAATTGTTCAAATTGAGGCATTGAGCAGAATTTGGTGTTAAATCTTCAATTATCAGGTGTTTTTGCTCTTTTTTATACTTTTATTAATTTTAATTATTTCATATAATGTTGCCTAGAAGATATTTATCTGGTAATGATAAGAGGAAAAAAAGAAAAAGAGCTGAAGAGTTAATAGAATCTCAAAAGGGTTCCATTGACAAATTTTTTACTAAAGTAGTACAAGTAGACGAGTCATCTCATGAATTGGGGGATAATGAAAATCATGAACAAGCTAATGAGGACTTAAACAATGTTAATAATGCCAATGACCCGAATGAGAATGCGACTCATATGAATGAACCAATGGATGCACCAAATGCATCCAATGATAATGATATAGGCATTGATGAACAAGTAGTCCCTCCTTTCGATTTTTATGATCCTAATAATTGGGGTAATCTTGACAATGAAGGGAGGGATATTTTAATTGAAAAAGGACCCATAAGAGACTTGAACCTTGTGTTTCCAATTGATGACAAATTAAGGCATTTTTCATATGCCTATTATACTAAGAGGCTTAGCAATGGTGAGACTTTTGATAGAAAATGGTTGGTTTACTCAAAAGCAGCAGATAAAAGTATATTGTTTTTGTTGTAAATTGTTCGCATCTCAAAATAACAAATCTTTTTTAGCAAATGATGGTGTGAATGATTGGAAACATCTTAGTGAGAAACTCAAATTACATGAAAATAGTGTTGAGCATATGACTAATATGAACACGTGGAATGAAACAAGAGTGAGATTAGAAAAGAACAAAGGCATTAATAAAGACTTGCAAGAGGCAATTTCAAAGGAAAAAGAACGTTGGAGGCAAGTCTTAATTAGAATTGTATCTGTTGTGAAAAGTCTAGCTAAAAATAATCTAGCTTTTCGTGGATCTAATGCAAAGCTTTATGATGATAGCAATGGTAATTTTTTAGGTATAATTGAAATGATAGCTGAATTTGATTTTGTAATGCAAGATCATGTAAGACGTATTCAAAGCCATGAAATTCACCATCATTACCTTGGTCCTCAAATTCAAAATGAGCTTATTTCTCTTTTAGCCCATGGTGTTCGGCTTTCAATAATAAAAATAGTAAAAGAGTCAAAATATTTTTCTGTAATCCTTGATTGTACCCCTGATGTGAGTCATCAAGAACAAATGACTTTTATAGTAAGATGCGTGAATGTATCAGATGATAAAATCAAAATAGAAGAATTTTTTTAGAATTCTTAAAAGTAGATGATACTTCTGGATTGGGACTTTTAAATGTACTGTTAAATGTTTGTAAGTCTCTTGATTTGGATATTGATGATATAAGGGGACAAGGTTATGACAATGGCTCTAATATGAAAGGAAAACACCAAGGGGTCCAAAAGAGATTGCTTGATATTAATTCAAGGGCTTTATACATTCCATGTGCTTGTCATAGTTTAAATCTCACTCTTTCAGATATGGCACATTCTTGCATTAAAGCTATATCTTTTTTTGGAATTGTACAACGCATATACACATTATTTGCACATTCCACTAAAAGGTGGAAGATTTTAGTTGACAATGTGCCAAGTTTAACTGTTAAATCTTTGTGTAATACAAGATGAGAGAGTCGAATTAAGAGTGTTAAAGCTATAAGATTTCAATCTCCTCAAATTAGATTAGCTTTGTTGGAATTGTACAATTCTTGTCATGATGATGTTAATATTGCTAAAACAAAAAGTAGAAGCTGAAAGTTTGGCTAATTCGCTTGCAAATTTTGAATTTTACTTGGCATGGTAATTTGGTATGACATTTTATTTGCTATTAATATTGTGAGTAAAAAGTTGCAATCTAAATCCATGAGTGTTGGAGTTTTAATGAATGAAGTGCAGGGTATAATCACATATTTTGAGAAATATAGAATTGAAGGGTTTGAAGCTAGTTTGGAAATTGCCAAAAACCTTGCACTTGATATGGATATAGAGCCAACATTTCCAACAAAGTGTCGTATCATTAGAAAGAGGCAATTTGATGAAATTGAGAGTGAAAATGATGATAAGGAACAATCACCCGAGGAATCTTTTAGAGTCAATTATTTTTTGGTGGTTGTTGATATTGCAATAGCTTATTTGAAAAATAGATTTGAGCAATTGGAGGTATTTAATAACATATTTGGTTTTTTGTTTGATGCAAAAAGTTTGAAATTGTTGGATAATGATGATTTGAGAAAATCCTGCACAAATTTTAAAACTACCTTTACTCATAATAATTTTTCTGATGTTGATGCAGATGATCTTTTTTCTGAATTGAAAGTGTTACAAATGACTTTGCCAAATGATTTGATGTCAGCATTTGAAATCCTTGAATTTGTCAAAGCTGCAGATTGCTATCCAAATGTTTCCATTGCATATCGAATCCTATTAACTATGCCGGTAACAGTTGCATCTTCCGAAAGAAGTTTTTCAAAGTTGAAGTTACTAAAGAACTATTTGAGATCGTCAATGTCACAAGAAAGGTTGAATGGTCTAGCTACTTTATGTATTGAGAAAAATATGTTAGAACATATTGATGTAGAAACGATTATTAGTGACTTTGCGTCCAGAAATGCTCGTAGAAATATTTTCATGTGAATGTTTAGACTTTGATTTCAATCGTAATAAAATGTCTTTTTTTTTATCTTTTTTTTTTGCATACCCAAAAATTTTAAATTTTTTTGGTATTTCATGTGAAATAGGGCCCCAATTTATATCTTTGCCCCGGGCCACTGAAATCTCAGAAACGGGGCTGGTTATTAAATATTAATTAATTATTATTATTATTATTTTTTTGAAAGAAATTATTATTATTAAATATTAATTATTATTTTTAAGCACAGCAGAATAGCTCAAAAGAACAGGGCCGAACTTGTTTTGTCCACTTAAATTTATAAAAGTTTCAATTTAAATGTCTCGGATAGCTAAGTTTGTTTTAAGTACTTTCATTTATGATTTTCTATTTATTCCATAACAACATTCATATAGGATGAAAAAAAAAAAAAAAAACCTAGAGTTTCTATTTAACAGGTACTCAGTAGTATTTATGTAGTATAAATATGATATGAATAAATTTTTTTTTTTTTGAATTTTTATAGGTTTTTGTTTTTTTTTTTTCCGCAAAAAATATGATGAACATTGCGGGTAAAAGGTGAGGACAAAGTCATTGCAACTTTTTTTTAACAAATTCCAAAATTGCGAATTTAATATAAAGTACGAGTCATTAAGTGATTTCTATGGTGACATAAATGCCCAATATATGTAAGATTTTCGACTTTTCGTCTACAGTCAAATAAATAATACGGAGCACTTCATAAATGATAAACCCTTTCATGGAGCATACTCAACATATTATCAAACTACAACGAAGTTAAAAAATAATCAAATATCATATCACTAATAAATAAAGTCGATCTCGCAGACAGGCCACGAAACAGCAACATTTGACATTTCAGTTTTTCGCCAAGTGTCACACCATGTAGGCGATAAATAGGTATTATTGTGACACATATGATGCTAACTTGCTAAGTAAGCAAAGTTTCGATAGATTTTAAAGATAAAAAAGTTGTACAGAGACTTATTATCGATATACTTCTAACATTTAATATATACAAAATTAATCATAACTTTTGATAAATCTAATATATATAACTAAATTAGGCATTTTTGGAGAGCATTCAGCGCGCCACGTAAGTAAAGGTATTGTTTCGACCAATAAGAAGAAAGATTTGTATTTTATTTTTGAATTAAAAAATTATGTCGCCACCTAGATAAAAGTAACGAATTAGATTTGATATATCTAAAATTTTAATGCCACGTAGATTATAATCCACGAATTAAATTATTTTAATGAAAAAAAATAAAGTATAAATATAGGAAAAGATAAATTTTTAATTCAATACTACGAGTATAAGAAATCCAAAAAAAAAATATATACTAAGAAATATTTAAATGATAAACGCTTATAATAAAATTTGATACCTATCATTACAAGATAAATTTTGATAGTATTTATGATAAGAAATACAAATTGTTCGTTAATTATAATTAAATTAAAATTTGTGATACCTACCATTATAAATTAACACATCATACGACACAAACAAAATTTCGTATCAATAAAAAACCCCATCAAACGAATTTTGTGTTAGTTTTTGGTCATCAATGGCCGGGTAATTTTTAGCTTAGTTTTTGAAATCCTATGTTTAAATTAGTATTTCTAATTATTACTTACATTGTATTAATTTGGGATACTCAACGATTATATGTTTCTGTTTTATTTACTAAATGTTTTTTTACATGCAGATCTAACACATCGTACGACACAAATAAAATTTCGTATCAATAAAAAACCCCATCAAGCGAATTTTGTGTTAGTAATTTTGTGTTACTTTTAGGTTATCAATGTCCGGGTAATTTTTAAAATTTATGTTTAAATTTATATTTGTAATTATTAGTTACATTGTATTTATTTAGGATACTTAACGATTATTTGTTTATGTAATGGCATATGATTAGATGTTGTATACTTAATATATGGATGACTTTGGTTATTTTTGAGATGATGAAAAAATTCCAATGCATAAATTTGATTTTATATCGCAACAATTTTTCATTTATTGGTAAATATATTGTTTTATTTTATATAAATGTAAAGATTTAATTTATATCAATTTCAGTTTGGCTAACATTGCACGGTTCAATTTATCCATTGATGTAGTAGGTTGGTTGTGGACGAAGTTGGTGAGTCTATCGAAATAAAAGATATGGTTAAACAGTGAATAATGATTTAGGATTTAAATTATTAAAAATTTATCATTTCACATTAAAGATTTCATATAACTGAAAAAATATCATATTTACAATTTATTTATATTTAATAAATTCATTATAAATTATAGTAAAAAAAAATATTAAACTTTTGTAATTTTGTCTGAAATTATTGAATACAATAAATCAAATAATTAAAAATCTTAGATGAAAAAACCGTGCATCGCACGGGCCTCCATCTAGTATCTTATAATTCAGTACTATTTCCATCATAAAATTCGTTTTAAAAGTTCTTTAATAAGATCCATATATAATATATTTAATTTATTTACAAAAATAATAGGGAATTAGTGAAAATAAAAATATCATGCATTATCAAAAGAGATTATATGATCATATTTAACTAATATATAAAGCTAAACTTTTAGTCAGGCCACGAGATAGCGACACTTGGCGTTCCAAATTCTCGCCAAGTGTCACGCCACGTAGGCGACAATTAAATATTAGTATGACATGTACGATTTATTTGGATATATTTTTTTTGAATAAATAAGTTGTATTTTTTTATTAGGATACAAACTTGGATGAATTTTGTAGGATAAAAAAGTTAGTTTAGAGTTTTATTTTCAATAAAATTTGGATATATTTATAGGATAAAATTGTTGGTTTAGAGTTTTAATTCCAAAAAATACCAATATTTCACAGGTACAAAATAAATAAGCTTAGCTAGATCACGAGACATTGTCACTTGATATTTCAACTTTTCACCAAATTTTGCACCACGTAGACAACAATCAAGTAATTTATCATATAAATTTATTTTTATATCATAATTATTTTTTGGAGCGAAGGAAGTAGTTCAAAACGTACCACATTCATTTATTATATATTCTAATCGATTGAAATAAAATACTTCACAATCTAATACTTCCTCAGTTCTTTTTTACTTGACCCGCTTTGACTTTTGCACTATTCACCACCCCTCCTTTGACCGTGTTTTGTGAATAATATTTAAGAAAAAAACATATTCATGTTGGATATTTTTGAATTCGTCTAAATAAATACTATCATAATATATAACTTTTATATTTTTTTTACTTATGTAGAATTAAAGTTATTGATCGTTAAAGTTTTGCATTGACAAGCGTGATAAAATAAATAGGTCAAGTAAAAAAGAACAGAGGAAGTATGATTTTATTACTCTATGTGGACCTGTCAATTGGGTCAGTCACAAGTCATTTCGGGTCGAGTCACTTCATGTCACGAGTTAAGAAATGTTCAACGGTAGCCCAAAGTTTTGGGCTCGAGTCAACCCAACAGGCTTAGAACAATTTTATTTGTTTAATTTATTTTTTACTAATTTTTAGAAATTTCTAATATTTCAAGCTTATTTTGCTATTTTTTTTATAATTTTTTAAATCGAACATTTTCACCAATATTATTATTAGTCATTACATACCTACTACATAATTTAAATCGTCAAAAAATCACATCAATTCCTAACTAATTTTGTATTAATGATGTATTTTAAAACTTGGTACATAAATAAAAAGTTTATTTTCTAATTCAATAAACACCCGGGCATCGCACAGGGCACCAAACTAGTATTTAAATAAAGTAGACATTTTTCAAGAGCATTCGGCGCGCCACATAAGTAAAGGTATTATTTCGACCAATTAAAAATTATATTTATATTTTATTTTAGAATTAAAAAATTCACTCGCCACCTAAGCAAAAGTGACGAATGAGATTTTAGAATTTTGCCACGTGGCTAAAAAGAACGAAATGATTTATTAGGATTTAAATTATTCAAAAAAAAATAGCTTTATTAAGCTAAAAATCATCTTTAGATGTTAGAATTTAAATTATAAAAAAAACTATTGTATAAATTATATTTTAATATTAGAATTTAAATTATTAAAAATAAATAAATTATCTTTTCATATTAATGGTTTTATCTAAACAGACTGAGATGATAATTAAATATTAGATTAAAATCATATCACAAATAATATTATATTTTAAATGATAAACGACTACAATAAAGTTTGATACTTGCCATTATAAGATAGAATTTGATAGTGTTTAAGATAAGAAATAAAATTACTTATTTATAATTAAATTAAAATTTGTGATACCTACCTTTATAAATTGGCGCATCATACGACACTAACTAAATTTCATATCAATCGAAATCAAATCAAACGAATTTGGTGTTAGTATTTTGTGTCAGTTTAAGGTCATCAATGACTAGGTAATTCCTAGCTTCATTTTTAAAATTTATGTTTAAATTTATATTTGCAATTATTACTTACATTGTTTATTTGAGATAGTTAACGATTATATGTTTATAGTTTGTTTAAAGGATTAAATTTTGCTTTCTAAATTAAGGCAATTCCTTGAAAAATTTAAATACTCCAATTAAGCCCAACGTAATTATATACTTAACGATTATATGTTTATAGTTTGTTTATAGAATTAAATTTTTCTTTTACATGCAGATCTAATTTGATTAAAGGATTAAATTCGAGCAAAAATGAAAGTATGTATGAGTTTCTCGCCTGCTTGACGTACAAAACTTCCGCAAACAATATAGCTTAATATGTTAGGATATGGTGTTATTAAACAAGGAGGTATTATATTTTTATAAATTGTTTAAATTTATAAAAAAATAATTATAAACCTTTAGGGTGATTGTGTTTATGCCTTAATTAAAGCCAACTTTGTTCAACACTTTCGTCCATTGAAGGAAATGTTTACTCCATTAGATTCTTTTTAGCCATTCCAAATAAAAAGCAATATCGCGTTGTTAGTGACAACAAAATAATAATTCAGTTTTTTCAAAATACCGTTTTTCGGGCAATTGGGGATGATAGAAAAAATTCCAATGCATAGATTTGATTTTATACAATTACAAGTTTTAGATCAATTTCATAATGATTTTGCTCTTTTTGGTAAATATATTGATTTATTTTATAAAATTGTA